GGTGAGGTGACCCCCAGGGGATGGGTGAGGTAACCCCCCAGGGGATGGGTGAGGTGACCCCCAGGGGATGGGTGAGGTGAACCCCAGGGGATGGGTGAGGTGATCCCCCAGGGGATGGGTGAGGTGACCCCCAGGGGATGGGCAGGTGACCCCAGGGGATGGGCAGGTGACCCCACCAGGGGATAGGCAGGAGACCCCAGGGGATGGGCAGGAGACCCCAGGGGATGGGCAGGTGATCCCCCCCAGGGGATGGGCAGGAGACCCCAGGGGATGGGCAAGTGCTATGGGGCCCTCGCCGCTGAGCCGGGTGCCCTGGTCCACCACGTTGTTTGCAGAAGGGGTAGGAGCTCGGCCTTTCCGCAGGGGCCTGGCTTCGCTCAGGGTCTGGGCCATGCATGCTCTCTGCTATGTTTGGGTTGAGGTAGGAGCCAGAAAGCCTGCAGGCAGAAGAGCAGAAGCCCCCAGTGCACAGTCTCCGCAGCGTCCTGGAGGCCCTGGAGGAGCTTCTGCAGCCGCTCTTCCCCATGCTCAGTGTCTCCGAGGCCAGGTACTGGGGATGACGCTGAGGCCCAGTCCCCACCACACCCACAAATAGACACGTGTGCCCAGTGCTGTGGCCAAGCACGTGTGCTTGCTGTGCCTTCTCAGCTGCCTTGTTCCAGGCTCCGCACCATGTACCTGCTCCTGGGAAGGCGCCCTGGTTCTCCCTCCATTCCAGCCTGGAGGAGCACCGCCCACTGCACACCCCCGAGGCCCCTCCCGCCCCTGGCCCAAGCGTGGGGTGGGAGGGCAAGCACCTCCAAGGGGCCGTCGGGCTCCTCTGATTTTGGGTGGGAAGGAAGGCAGAGGGGACGGGCACCTGGCACTGTTGAGCTTGGCTGGTGGATCAGAGATGGTCCTGAAATCCTTCTGCTCATCCCAGCCCCGCCTCGGCAGGACCATGCCCAGAAGCGAGCGTGGGGATGTCTCGTGGTGCTGCTGCCTTAGATTGAAGCAGGCTGGGCAGGTGTCAGTTATTTATAGATATGTTCTTAGTAGATGTCATCTCTATCTGTTTCTTAAACCCGAGTATGTGACCTGACTTTCAGAGTGCAGACGCCCATGGTGGTTGCAGATTCAGGGAAGTCCAAGGGTAAAGACAAGGAGAGGAAGCCGTCCACAGGGCCGCAGAGTGAGTGCGGTGGGCACTGCGCTCAGCGGGGGGGCTCGTTCTGCCAGAAGAAGTGGGGTTGGGATCCACCCACCCAGCCGGGAAAGCCAAGGGGGGTCAGGAGCCCAGGAGTCCCACCGCCCCCGGCCCTGCAGCCCCTCCCTCTGAGACATCCCTGCAGATGGCGCGCCGGAGGGTCCTGTGCACAGCCTGGACCAGCCCACCCTCCGGGTAGGAGGCTCTGTGCCAGGCCCCCCGAGAGCACCCGAGAACCAGCACAGCTGCGCTCTTGTGGTGGATTGTCAGCCCGCCACACCATGCGTGCTTGCTAACAAAGGGAGGGAAGGGCGTGATGGGGGGCTGCTCCTGGCCCCGTTCCTGGGCGTCTGGAGGAGTTGACGTGGAGTTGAGGTGGGCCACCAGCCTTTCCCAGCAGCAAAGTCAGAAGACGCAGCCCTGCGGCCCGTGGGAGGGGCCACGTCTTCGGGAGCTGATCTCCCTGCACCTGCACTGCGCTTCCAGACACAGCCCAGCCCGAGGTGGCCGATAAGGTCGTCCTGGTGGCAGACAGACGTCTCCTGGAGCTGCCGCTGGAAGGTCTCTCCATGTTTGATGAAGGGACAATTTCCTCTGTGTCACGAGAATTTTCTCTCCAAATGTTATGGAATCGCCTCCGTAAAGAAGATACAGGTAGGAACGGCCCTTAGCCACCTTCATGTGTAATTTTAAAATGGAAAATTTAAATTGTTTTTCGGATAAAACAATGTTAGCTCCTGTCAAAAAATAATCATCCAATGTTGCAACATTTTTCTAGGCATTTATTCATTCAGAGATATTTACAGGATATAAATACTCACCAGCCTGGGCAACATGGTGAGAGGGCATCTCCACAAGAAATTTTAAAATCAGCCGGGCATGCACCTGTGATCCCCACTACTCAGGAGGCTGAGAGGTGGGAGGATGGGTGGGGCCTGGGAGAGGGAGGCTTTGGTGAGCCGAGATGGTGCCACTGCACTGCAGCCTGGGCAACAGAGCGAGACCCTGTCAAAAAAAAGAAAAGAAAACATAAACACTCAAAGGTATTTATAAAATACCTGCGATGTGCTGGTATCCTGGTGCCAAGCACACAGGGAGGAAGAATTTAACCCTGTTCTTGCCCCCACAAATATCTGTTTCAAAGGAGGGAACCAGATGGGTAGTGACGGGAAAGCAGTGAGGGAGCGTACGGGAGGCCCTGGCCTCGGCCGGGACTGGGGTGGTGACGCTGGTGACAGTGCTGGCTGTGCACACAGGCCCTGTCTGTGAAACTTCGCCAGCCCTGCACTTGTGGTATTGGCAGTTTTCTGCATATATGTTGCACTTCAATATAAATGAAATCAAAAATAAATAGACTGGACTTTTGCTTCCATCTCAGATGAGGTAACAAGGACCAGATTTGCCCTTCCAACCGAGACAACTAAAAACCAGAAAAAACACGATTGAGTGTTTCCAAGCGTTGACGAGCAGGCCGAGCAGGACAAGGGTCCTTGAAAGAGGGGTTGGCTGGCGAGCACCACGGCCCACCCAGCTCTTACTTCCCGGGGAGCTTCTGGGCCACGGTACTGGCAGGGGTGGGGGGTGGGAAGAGCCCAGGAGTCTCCCCGGGTTGAGGACAGGGACACGGACTGCCAGAAGGTTCAGGGTGGGACACCGGGAGGAGGGACCTGCAGGCAACGGCTGCTCTGAGAGGTGCAGAGTCCAGCCAACGCCTGCGTGCGCGGCCGGGGACAGAGGCGTCTCTGCCGATGGGAAGGACACGGACAGACGCTGACAGCGTCTTTCATTTCAAAATCTCTTTAAAATATTCTTGAGCAAAAAGTTTAGAGCAAAAGAAACCGATAATAGTGTGGGGGTTTATAACATAAATGTGAAATGAGGAACAACAGCACAGGAGATGAGAGGGAGGGAATGGCACCCGCAGAGCCCTGAAGGCCGCGTCCTCTAGACAACGCGCGGTAACGTTACTTGGAGATAGGCTTCGGTAAAGACGTGAACTCTACACCTCCAGTAACCACTAAAAGCAACAAGAAGAGCAAACAGAAAGCCCCATGCAGTTTATAACAAATACATGATGCAGAAGATGAAATGGAATCATAAACACACGGTTAATCCTAAAAACACAAAGAGGGAACAGAGAACAAACAGGAAAAATAAAATAGCGAGGTAGTATATTTCAGGCCAACCATATCCATAATCACATTGTCTAAACACCCCAACTGAAAGAAGAATATCATCTGATTAAATGAAAATTCAGCATTCAAAATACGCTTCCTCCAAGAAACCCACTTTAAATAAAAAGAAAATGGTGAGTTTAAAAAAAAGGATAAAAAGCCGTATCTCTTACTATTCAAAGAAGGTTGGCATGGTGAGATGAAATTAGAAATAGGTGGAGTTAGGGACCATTCCGTACGAGGAGGAGGCTAATTCCTGAAGACGGCGTGAGACCCAGTTATGAATCCATCAGTTAACGCCGCTGCAGAAGACACGAGATGAAGCCCACGGAACCACAGAGCAATCGTGACGCACACAGGGATGGCGGGGGGTCAGCATCCCCTTCTCAATAGTGATGGAACAAACCTGCGTGGAATCAGGAGGGTGTGGAGGATTTAAACACACCAAGCAGCTTCATCGAACCGACACTTGAGTAACTGTCCCCTCCCTCGACAGAAGAATGTATTCCTTTTCCACACATGATACACCCCAAGTGGAGCCATAGAACAGGCCTCAAAAGTCTTAAAGGGTCCAAATCACTCACAATGGGTTCTCTGACCACAGTGGAGTTAAATTAGAAATTAATAACAGAAATCGTGTCTGGAAAACCCCAAACACTTAGAAACTAACTGTACTTCTTAAATATCCATGGATAAAAGAGGAAATTAAAAGGGACATGTAGGAAATATTGTGATCTGAAGGGAAACAGAAACACAATTTGTCATGATTTGTGGATACTGCTGAAGCGCGAGAAGGAATTTATGGACCAGGCTGAGGGAAAGAGGCCGGATGAAGGGAGCGCACAGGGCCTGGTTTCATTCGTACAAACCCTGGGAGACACAGGCTAATGTGGAAGTCAGAAGGCGGGTCAGTCGCTTCCTGGGGTGGGGGCTGGGGCTGCAGGAGAAGTAGGGGGAAGGGCCACGTGGCTCACTTTAAACGCAGGCAGTTTACTGTGGTCACGTGGACTCTGTACCCTGGTGCTCTGACCCTTCCTGTGACCCCTCGAGGAGCCTCCTGCTTGTGAGTGGAAATTTTTTACATAAAATACAGAAACAGCAAATTTGTATCAGGGTCATGGAAGCTCCTACCAGAGCACATGGGCGAGGTGGGTCCTGGGTGGAGGAAGTCAGTCAGAGGGCAGAACCCCCCGAAGGCGCCGTGTCCAGGAAGGTTCCTCCAGGCCCGGGAGCTCCCGCAGCAGCCAGCCTGGTAGCTTATGGCTGGTCTCTGTGTGATTCTGGCCCACCGGGTGCCCCGTCCATCCGCAGGCCACAGTCAGCCCCTTCTCGGACCCTGGTTTGTCCCTCTGGCCACCCTCCTGCCTTCCCCTAGTGAGTTCTGTGTGGAGGGCATGTCTGCCTTGCGTGGCAGGAGGGCACTCAGTGGCCTGGGCTGGAGGGAATGGGAGTGCAGGGTGGAAAGGCAGGGAGGCCAGAGCGGGAGTTGGCTGTCACAGACACGAGGCTTGCAGAGGTTTCAGAAACCGTGTTTGACAGTGAAGTGTGCCACCTCTCTAGAAAAATGTCCGAGTGGAGCGCCAGGCAGGAAGCGGGCCCTGCACCCACCGAGAGTCGCTCCCCTCCCCGAGCCCAGCTCACCGCCCACGGTGCCCCCCTCCTGACTGTACTGCAAAGCCAGGGCTTTTCATGACCTCACCTCCAAGATCAGCACCCCGAAATCTGGCAGCCCGCTTGTGCCTGTTTTGAAGTCAGACAAATGGCATCTGAAGGCGTGCTGGGTCCATATGTTGCTTTTGCATCGTGTTATTTCCTTTGTACACAGAAGCTTTTCAGTTTGATGTGATCTCACGTGTTTATTTTTGCTTGTGTTGCTTATAATTTTGATGTCATCCAAAAAATTCATTGCCAAGACCAAAATCAAGGAGCTTTTCTCCTGTGCTTTCTTTTAGTAGTTGTATGGTTTCCGGTCTTACATTTAAGTCTTTAATCCATTTTGAGTTGGGTTTTGTAGATGGTATAAGATAAGGCTCCAAACTCATTGATTTGTGTGTGGATATTGGGTTACCCCAACACCATTTATTGACGAGACTGTCCTTTCCCCATTGTGTGTTCTTGACACCTCTGTCAAATATCAGCTGACCTTGAAGGCGTGGGTTTATTTCTGAATCCTCCATTCTGTTCTATTGGGTCCAGTGTCTGCTTTTATACCAGTACCATATTGTTTTGATTACTATAGCTTTGTAGTATAATTTCAAACCAGGTAATGTGATGCCTCCAGCTTTGCCCTTGCTCAGGATCGCTTTGATTATTCAGGGTCTTGTGTGGCTCCTTGTAAATCTTAGGATTGCTTTTCTATTTCTGTCAAAAATGCCATTGGAGTTTTGATAGTGCATTGAATCTGTAGGTTGCTTTGGGTAATATGGGCATTTAAAAATATGAATTCTTCCTATCCACGAACACAGCTATCTTCCCATGTATTATGTCTCCTGAAATTTCTTTCATCAGCGTCTTATAGATTCCAAGGCAGAGATCTCTCACTTCATGGTTGAATCTACTCCTAAGTACTTTATTCTTTCTGATGCTATTAGAAATAGGATTGTTTTCTTAATTTCTTAATCAGATAGTTCATTGGTAACGTATAGAAATACTACTGATTTTTGTATGTTGATTTTGTATCTTGCAACTTTACTGAATTTATTAGTTCTAACAGGTTTTTGGTGGAGTCTTTGAGGTCTTGTATATATAAGAGCTTGTTATCTGAAAACAGATAATTTCACATCTTTTTTTCTGATGTGTCTGCCTGTTGTTTCTCTTTCCTTTTTAAAATTCTATTTATTGATTTCTTAAGATGGAGTCTTGCTCTGTCACCAGGCTGAAGTGCAGTGGTGAGATCTCTGCTCACTGTGACCTCCACCTCCCAGGTTCAAGCGATTCTCCTGCCTCAACATTGGGAGTAGCTGGGATGACAGACGCGTGCCGCCACGCCCAGCTGATTTTTGTAGTTTTAGCAGAGCTGGGGTTTCACCATGTAGTCAGGCTGGTCTCGAACTCCTGACCTGAGGTGATCCACCCACCTCGAGCTCCCAAAGTGCTGGGATTACCGGCGTGAGCCACTGCGACTCCCAGGCATTTGTCTTTCTTCCCTCCTTGCTTTGAGATGGGATCTTGCTTTGTCAGCCAGGCTGGAGTGCAGGGGCCTAATCTTGGCTCACTGCAACTTCTGCCTCCTGGCTTCAAGCGATTCTCCTGCCTCAGCCTCCCAAGTAGCTGGGATTACAGGTGCGTGCCACCACGCCCGGCTAATTTTTGTGGTTTTAGTAGAGATGAGGTTTCACCATATTGGTCAGGCTGGTCTCGAACTCCTGAGCTGAGGTGATCCACCCACCTTGGGCTCCCAAAGTGCTGGGATTACAGGCGTGAGCCACCGCGCCCGGCCTGTTATTTCTCTTTCTTGCCTCGCTGCTCCGGCGGGGACTTCAGCGCTGCTTGAATGGAAGTGGCAAGAGTGGGTTTCCCTGCCTTGTTTTTGGTCTTAGGTGAAAACTTCGTGCTTTCCACTGTTAGCTGTGGTCTGTCGTTAGGTGTTTGGGGTTTTTCAATCTTTGTTCTCCTCATGATCATGAAGATATTCTCTTGTGATATCTTCTAAATCCACCTCTTTTTTCCCCCCAACTTTCACATTTCTATCTAACCACCGTGAGATGGCCTCTGTGGAGTGCGAGGTGGAGTTTAAGTTGTTTTTCTATGAGGAGATCCAGCTGTCCACACGTAGTGTATTGAAACGTCCTTCCCTTCCCCACCACGGTCATGGCAGGGGCTGAACAGGAAAGAAGTGGCTGGCTAGATGCTCCAGCACCGGCGTGGTTTGCAGGATACTGGCCGCCCAGAGGTGCCCATGCCCAGCCCCGGTGCCTGTGAGCCTACGAGGTGGCGTGGTCCAGGGGCTTCGCAGATGCAGTTCCAGACTTGAGATGGGAGGCGCTCCTGGGGATCCACGTGGGCCCAGTGATGAGATGACCACGTGCTCACACGAGGGAAGCAGGGAGGCCAGAGAAGAGCTTGGAGGCTGCGCTGCCGCTGGTGAGGACGGAGGGCATGGCCAGGAGCCAGGAGAGGATTCTCCCCAGGAGCCTCCAGGGCCAGCGCCGCCGGGCGACGCTGCCATTGTGACCCAGTGCACCCCATTCCGACCTCTGACCCCAGAACCATCAGACAGGAAGCGGTGCAGCGTTAAGCCCCCATTTTTGTGATAATTGGTTAACGGCGGCCACGGGAACTCACAGAACCCTCACCACAGAGTCACCGAAAGCTGGGCTGCAGTCATCTGAGTCTTTGAAATGCATTACCAAGTGGCCACAAAAGGAAGGATTAGGCTGAGCCTTGAGGTGTCCTCGGAGCCGTGAGCTGCTGAGTCGAGGCAGGTGTCAGCACTGCAGCGAAGCATTCAGGGCACCCCAAAGAACGGGTGGCAAACTCCAAACGAGCAGAGAAGGAAGAACGAATGAGGAAACGAATGGGCCACTTACCTCAGTCAGGGGATCCCACAGCTAGTAATGGAGAAACACATAGAAAAACAGGACAAATAAAGAAGTCAGATAGTGGAAGTCGGCCCACTTATGTCATATGTCAACGTGGGAAGTAAAAGTTCCTCTGCAAAGTTTCCTTTCTTGTTAAAGAACAAATCAGCTGGGCGTGGTGGCTCATGCTCGTAGTCCCAGCACTTTGGGAGGCCAAGGAGGGCGGATCACGAGGTCAGGAGTTCAAGATCAGTCTGGCCAACACAGTGAAACCCCATCTCTACTAAAAATACAAAAATTAGCTGGGCGTGGTAGCAGGCACCTGTAATCCCAGCTACTTGGGAGGCTGAGGCAGGAGAATCTCTTGAACCTAGGAGGTAGAGGTTGCAGTGAGCCGAGATCGTGCCACTGCACTCCAGCCCAGGTGACAGAGCCAGACTCGGTCAGAAAAAAAAATAGGATAAATCATAAGTGTGCTAATAACTCTTTGTTAAGCCCTATCGTATGTAGCTATTAGACATGCCCTGCTTACAGGCATGTAGTACATTCTATGTCCTTGTACTTTAACCAAGATGTCCGTGCTGGACGTTCTCACAGGCAGGTCCCAGCTCGCAGCCTATGCCCCTTACCTGTTTAAAAAGTTTTCAGTTGTTAGCCAATCAGGTTCTAGTTTAGATTGTGAGCTCTGGCTCCAGCCAGTGGAGATCAGACACAGCAGTAAGGACGACCCCAAATGCGTGAGGGATAAATGTGTCTGCTTTTCCTTTGTTCATTGTACTCTGACGGCAAGATGGCTAGTGAGGGTGCCCTTCCTGCAGCCCAGGAGGTAAAAATTGCTTGCTAAGTAAGAGATCTTTTGTCTCAGTGCTGATTTTTCTTTGTGGCACCAAGCATCTGTTTCCAACGTTCAAAAAAAGGTCCATTGGCCAACCCTGCCAATGAGACGGCAGAGGCGAGCAGAGGGTGCCAGTCATGTGCAGTGTGCAGGAAACTCGCCTGTCAAAAAGGACCCACACGAGACAAAGGAAGAGAAGTGAAAATGAGTAAATGTTTAAAAGTGACCAGGAGGGTCAGCGTCTGCCTCGCAAAGGAGGCAGACTTTAGGGCCAGGCATCATCAGGGACGTGGCCATCATGAGAAAGGCTCGACTCCTCTGAAAGATGAAACAGCCTCCAAATGCAAGAAGCAAAAGCTGTGGGGCGCGGCCGCCGCGGGCCCCGACGCTGGGACATTTCGCCGCTCCGGGATTACTGATGCGTCTGACAGACAAAGCAAAAACAGTGGAGATTCAGGGCAACGTGGTTAACCATCTCGGCTTAATAGAGACATGGAACTCTGTGCCTAGAACGTGGCAGTCTGCGATCTTTTCAAGTACACCGGGAACAATCACGAAATGGAGAAGCAGGTCCCACTGTGTCTCAGACACAGGCAGACAGCCCACACGGGAGGCGCAGCGTGATGAGGGCAGAAAGCAGTCCCCGAGGTGCATTTTTTCCATCCTGCTACGTTTGAAAATTCAAGACCACACTTCTGAATATTTCATGGGACTCAGAAGAAATGAAACGATCGTGGAAATGTCAAAAACTAGCGAGACATGGCTAACCTGACTGAGAAGGCGCTGCAGCCGTAAATGCCAACGTTAGAATAGGAAAAGCACCAGGAATTCATAAGCTCAGCGCCGATTTAAAAGTCAGAGTGCAAAGGCAGAGTAATCCAAAAGCAAGCAGAGGAGAAGATGCAGAAGGTGCCCGAGGCGGCACCAAGGAAACAAAGACGCCACGGAGAAGACCCACGAGAATGTCAGAAACGGAGACACGCAGCCTCGGTGCACACCAGAGGCCACGGGACAGCCAAGGAGCAGCTTCGTGCCAACACAGTGACAGCCCTGGGCAGCAGGGACGGCATACGAGGAGAAAACGCTTTCAGACTCCAGGAAGAACGGAAAGCTGAATGGCCTGATAACCAAAAAAAGGGACATCCATGGATTTAGTCTTCCCACACACACAAAATCAGTTTTTCCATGTTTTCTCTGAATTCTGCCAGACTGTCAAGCAACAGATGATGTCAGTGTTAGATAAATCTCCCCAGTAACAGCTCCTCCCATCCTTCCACAGGCCAGCCCAACTCCTCCCACACTGCCCCAGGGCAGCACAAAAAATACACACAAGATAAGCTGTCATCTCTCAGGTCAGCCTTTTCGCTTCCCTTCTCCCCTCCCTGACGGGGTCTCGCTCTGTCACCCAGGCTGGAGTGCAATGGCACAATCACAGCTCACTGCAGCCTCAACCTCCTGGGCTCAAGCAATCCTCCCACCTCAGCCTCCCAAACAGCCAAGACTGCAGGCATAGGACACCATTCCCAGCTAAGTGTCTTTTTAGAGACAGGATCTAACTATGTTGCCCAAGCTGGTCTTGAACTCCTGGGCTCAAGTGATCCTCCCACCTCATCCTCCCAAAACACTGGGATTATAAGGCGTGAGCCACTGTGCCCGGCTCCAGTTTGACCCTAAAACACTACAAATGTCCTAGAACAGACTGCAGGAGGAACAGTGGTAGGAGCATTTCAGTCAGCACAGGGTAAAGGCATTTGATAAAATGCACGCATTTACCTCGTAAGCCGGGAACGCACCACAATGCCCCATCCTAATAACGGAATCCATCAAAAACTAGAGACAGCCCCCTTCCTAACGGGGCTCCCTTAGAAACAGCCTCTTTGAAGGGGGTCGGGCAGAGAGCCCCATCCGTGCGTCCATTCCACTGTCACGGGAGACCCCAGCACAGGTGCACAGAAAGGAAAGAAAAGGTGGGGCAGAAGCAGGAGGGAGTGGCCAGCCTTCCCGGGCACACAGCTGTCTACGCAGAAGCAGCAAGAGAAAGCATTGATGTAGACGGGGCAGGTTGTAAATCCCTGCACAGAAGGCCTGGAACCAGCGAGGGGCCCAGGCACACCTGTGAGTACCCCGCGGCGTGTGTGAATGGCCAGCTGGGTGGGCCTTGGAGCCTTGAGGGAGCGGTTCTTCCTTGGGGACTTTTCCCCAGCCCTGTGAGCCTTTACTTTTGAGAGGTTATTCCCATGTCAACTTTACAAACATTTAAATCGCTTGTTCTCTCTCCTTGTCGTTTTTCATTGAGGTGGAAGTTGCACTACGTGAAATGAACCGACAGTGTGGCCGGACAGCCGCCTCCAGCTGCAGACAAACATCCCTCCCCTTTCTTGTCCTCAGCAGAAGGTGTCACGAAAAAGGAGGGGAGAAGCAGAGACTCCAAAAAGAGAAGCCTAGCGAAGAAGGGCAAGAAGGTGGGGGGGCTGTGGCGGGGGACCTGGCGGTGGGCTCAGCGGGAGGTCAGGGTCCCGGCCCCCGCACGCGACGTGACCCTGGTCTGTGGCTACAGGGCAGCTTCCCCCGGGTCATCCCCCCTGACTGCATCATGGTCGACTCAGACAACTTCAAGTGTATCCTTTGATGGACGTGGGGGGCGGGGGGCCCAGACCTACCCCACGCCCCTGTTTCTCCTTGACTGGAGCTCAGTCGTCGTGGACCCGTATGAGGAGGCCCAGGGCCCAGGTGGGTGCTGCACAGGGCTCCCCGCTCAGGCACACGCTGGCCTCCGCCCCTGCTATGCCCCCGTGGTGGGCAGCAGCTGGTACCTGCCTCCTTGAGGTGCTGAAATCAGCATACATGCTTGCCCTGTTTTGGCTTTAAATATTTTAATTTGTTGAGGTTTTCTCTCTTGCTAGCCTGGTTCTACCATAACCCTACCAGGACTTAGGACACACCCGCCCGCCTTCGCTGTGACCCCTCCCCGGGGACCCTGCCCTGCACACGCGTGTGTGATGGAGCTCATTGTGCGTCTCCACCCCATTTTCCCTGTAGAAATGCTGACTCCTGTCTCCATCACCCAAGAAATTTTGGAAAGATTCCAAGACACGTTCACGTCGCGATGGGTGGGACATCTGGGAAGCAAGCAGTTTCCCAGGTTCGGATCTGGGTCCCAGGAGCTGTTGGTGTGTGTTGGGTCTCAGGGGTCCAGCGAGGAACCACTGCTCCCGCCCCCAGCTCCCTGGGTCTGCCCCATAAGTCCCCCCAGGCACAGCACGAAATGCCGAGACAGACCTGGCTCCTTGAGTCCTCACAGAGACTGGGCGAGGGGCACTGTTACCCATTTTACAGATGGTGACCCGGGCCCCAGCATCACTGATAGCACATGGTCCAGCAGCAGGGGCTGCCTCTTCACCCCCAGCACTGCAGCTACTCCAGAGACCACCCACAGACTGTGCCCCCCAGGTGCCCTCGGGGTTCCATGGTCCAGAGGGGTTCAGAAGCGCCAGCAGAGAACCAGAGCCACCAGGGAGGGAGCGCCACGGTGGGAGGGGGTCCTTCCATGTCACAGGCTCCATGCCAGGGGCGGGGCTTCAGGGACAGGTGTGTGAAGCACAGGTGTGTACAAGGGGCAGGGGTGCCAGGGCAGGTGTGGGCAGTGGTGGGCAGGGGTGTGCAGGGGCAAGTGTGTTGGGAAGGGGGGCTGCAGGGGCAGGGCTGGGGTCAGGTATGGAAGGAGGGAACCCTGGTCTGGTCACTGTCTCCCCTGCCTGGAGTACTGGGGGTGCCTTGCCCTCCACATGCTTGGCCACTGGGAAAGCCCCTCCTAGCACTTCCCACAGCCAGCCCTGCCTGGGGATCGAGTGTTCATTCCAGCGCAGAAGTCCATGCTCACGGAGAGTCCAGCTGACTAGGCTTCATCCTAACCCATGATCAGAGCACAGAGAACAGAGGCATGGGCACTGGGAAAATGAAAGACAGTTGTGTTTAACATGCAAACGGGACGGGCGTGGGCCCCACAGGGTGCGTGGCCTGCTTGAAGAATGCACGCTAGGGTCCGTTCACCCACGCTGTCCTCTCTCTTCAGCCAGGCCCAGTGGGAGCAGGCCCTGGGCAGCTGCAGCGGCTTCTTCTTCTATGGGATGGAGCGCTTCCTGTCCCACGTATTAGTGGAGAGATTGGTCGCCATGAACTTGCAAGGTGAGAGGGGTCCTCTGGCCACCCCTCCACGGGCACGGGACAAATCCAGCTGAGGGCAGAGCATGGCCACCGTCATCTGCTGGTGCTGCCCCCACCTGCTGTGGCCACATGCCCCTCCTGTCTGCAGGTGGATGGCCTCTGCCCGCCCCTGCACCCCGTGCCTGGCCCACACAGACGTGGCAGCCACGGGGGCTTCTGCCACCGCCCCCCCCCCCGCCGCCCTTCATTTCTCAGAGTCCGCACTCCCCCTGCCCAGCTCTTCAGACCTGGCAGGCCTGTCAGTGCTGGGCCCAGGAGCTCAGGAAGGATGGGGTGGGCAATTCAGGACCTCGCTGGTCACAGCCCCTCCCTCAGGGCTCCTCTAGTCTAATCGTGGGTACTTGGGGCCTCGCCTTCCCCTTCGCTGTCCACCGGCGTGAAGGGTCTGCCAGGTGTGGCCCTGCTGTGCCTGGCACCATGACACCCCAGCCAGCTCCAGGACGGGGGGCTTTTGGCAGGAGGTGGGGACAGCACGCAGGCTGAGGGCGTGGCATGAGTGTGGCAGGCGTGACCGCCATCTCGAGCACATGTGTAGGGGCACACCACCCCATCACGTGCCACGGCCTGAGGATGGCACTGACAGAGACAGCCTGCCCTGGACAGCAGGCACGGCCACTTGGACACCGCAGGACGAGTGATCAGGAAGCAGGTGTGGCCCAGCCCTGTGCCAAGGCCATCCCCCGTCTCAGCTCCTATGGCTGCCACCCTACCAGGATGACCTTGTGCAGGGCCAGCCCACTCGCTGTGACCTTCTCTGACGGGGCTGCAGATGGCTCCACTGTGTGGGATTGGCAGGAGCCTTTCGGGGACCTGAGAGGTGTGGTGCTCCCCAGGAGGCGTGTGGGCCCCATGGGGGCACTGAGACCACCCTGCAGGGCAGAGGAAGCCAATGAGGGTGCCTGGGTGGGCTTCCCACCACCTCCCTTGCCCGCACAGTCGTCCTATGAAGGGCCTGGGCTCCTGAAGCCTGCCAGGTCCACTGTGGCCAGGGCATCCCTGGAAAGAACCTGACCGTCGTGAGGTTGGAGGCTGAAGCTGAGTGGCCAGCATGCCATGCCCTGCCATGCCCTGCCATGCCCTGGGGGCACAGGCCCCCCCTACACTCCCACCCCTGCGTCGGGCCACGGCTGCTGAGCCGCCCTTCCTGCCCCTCCCCGCTTCCCGTCGGCAGAGTGCCAGGTGCTGGTCGTGCTGGACCTGGCGCAGTCATACCAGAGCATGAGGCGGCATATGGAGAGCTTGGAGCACAGGAGGTGCCTGGCTGCCCGGGGGAGGGGGTGCAGCGGGTGGAGAGGTCAGACGGGGGCTGGGGGGTGCCACACCAGAGCAGGGACTAGGGGTGGGTTTCAAGAACTGTGAGAGCCGCTGGGGCACACATGCATTCCATCAACCGGGGAGATACGTGTGCACAGGGAGGGGCGGCTCAGCTGGGCCCCCTGGCGCCAGCCCACAGGAGCCGGGTCCCCGCAGCGCCTCAGAGCCGTCCCTGGAGGATCCCATCAACGTGGCCATCCTGCTGAGCCTGGTGGGGGTCAAGAGCATCCTGGCGAACCAGTGGCCTACACTGCTGCAGGACAACGCACTGCGGGCCAGCATCCTTTGGGAAAGTGCGTGGGCGCCGGGCACCCCGGGCCTGTCCCGAAGCCCTTAGCAAAGCTGCCAGGGTGTCCACGCCTGCCTGAGCGGTCGCTTCTCCCCTAGATCTGTTGGCCGTCGGGAAGCCCGTTGGAGAAACGGTGCGACTCCTGCAGGAGATGAGCGGGGATGAGGCGGTGAACCAAGGTGAGGGAGGGCGGCCAGCCCGCAGGTCCTCCAGCGCCCTCCGCAGCCGCCGCCGTGGGACACGTGCTCCCCACAGCCCTCCAGGGACAGGTGTCTCGGCTTCCCTGCGGGGAACTGGGATTCCAGACACTAGCTAGGCGCCAGAAAGAGGAGGGCTTGTTCTTGCCTGGAAGCTGCCTGCGTCTGCACTGCCCCAGCCCCCCGCGGTGGCGCGAGCCTCAGCGGTGATGCCTGCAATGCCGTGTGGCCCCAGAACCCGGAGGGAAAGCGTCGTGGTCGTCGGAGACCACGACAGCTCCAGTCACACGAACCCCACGAGCCCGGGACCCTCTGGGAACCAGTGGGAGATCCAGGGGGCAGCTGTGCCAGGCCCTTCCCAGAGTGAGGGCCGGACGGGTCCTGGATGTGGCCAGGGGTCCCCCCTGGAAGAGGCCCCCTGCAAGAGGAATGCGTGGGCTGAGGGTGGAGAGCAGCCTGACTCACATCACACCCAGCACCTGTCCCTCCCACGGCCTCAGGGGAAACGTCAGGAAGGGGCACAGGACATGGTCAGGCGGAACCCACCCACTCATCCTTCAGAGTCAGCAAAACCCTCCTGCCATGGTGGGGGGAAGCGCAGAGAGGAGCTTCATGGGACCCTGAGTCGAAGCGCTCAGCCGTGCACGGGAGGGGTGGTCTGCCCTGCCTAGGAAGGCGTCCCCTCACCGAGGCCTTCAGTGTCCGCCACTGGCCAGGAGTTTATCGTGTAGAGAGCATGTGGTCCACAGTCTGGGGTGCCGGGCCCAACGACCCATGCTTGTCGGGGGAGGGAGGGAGTGAGGGGCAGGGGAAACTCGGCCGGAGTGCAAACACAGAGCCAGTGCAGACACGGAAGCCACTGTGGCGTGGCTGGTGTGGCGCTCTGCAGGGGAATCCGGGAAGGGCAGAGCCAGGCTGGAGCTGTTCTGCTGCTGCCGCTCAGCCCTGACCAAGTTCCGGTCCCTGTAGTGGAGGCCTGAGCCCAGGTGACCTACGCTGCTGAGAAGGAAGGGGCAGAGGACGCTGCTCACTGCGGGGCAGCAGCCACACCCCAGACGGCCACACCCCCCACCAGCAAAGCAGCTCGCCCAGCCGAGGGGTGGATCGGGGACAGTGGGCCTTGGGTCAGGGGGTCCAGTCCTGGCGCCATCACCCGGCTGTGCGGGGCCTTCCTGCCCTGACTCCTGGGCCTGGATGCTGTTGGTGACTTGGACACCTCGGTGCAGGAGGGGTGTGCAGGTGGTGGGGGCACCCTGGGAGGCCTGGCAGATGGCAGTGTGTCCCCTCGGCACCCTCAGTCGGAGCACCTGCCATGCCCGCCCCTGTGCCCTGGCCCTCGGCCAGGCTGGACGTCCTGCGGGTCCTCGGGGTTCACGGCTCCCGTCCCTCTCTCCACAGACGAGGCTTCTCAGACCTTGAAGGACAAGGTGCTCCTGCTGCTGCAGCCGCAGCTCCAGAGCTCTGAGCTCCTTCCCACCACGCTCAACTTGGTCCTGTACGGGCTGCCACACCAAGCCGTCGGGTAGCGCGGGCCTGGACACCGCCCTCCACCCTGCCCCTCTACCAACCCACAGCTCTCCCATCCCCACCGCCAGGCTGGCTCTCCCCAGCCCTTGGCGTGGCCTCAGCCCGAGACCTTCCACCGTGCCCTCCTGCCGGGCGGTCACCTAGACCTCGAGCTCTACCTGCCCGTGTGCGCCACGGGGTCTGTGTCAGGGCTGGAGCTGCGTCTCTCCCCAGGGCCAGGACAAGGGCGGCCTCCCATCAGGAGGCTTCCCCAGCCGCGGGCTCATTTATGCTGGCAGCAAAACCGCCTTTCCCTGGGGAGGAGGCACCCGCAGCAGAGCCCCAGAAGACAAAGCCTCTCAGCGCCATGCCGGTGCTGGGTTGCTCAGACCAGGAGCACCATTAGGACCTGTTAGGCTGTTTTTCATTTGAGTGTTCTAGTAAACAACAAAAGCCAGTCTCTGTGTGTGTGGTCTCTGGGAGTCTCCTTGTGTGGTCTCTGCGACTCCAGTGTCTGTGTGTGGTCTCTGC